GAGAGAGAGAGAGAGAGAGAGAGAGAGAGAGAGAGTGCGTGCGTGCGTGCGTGCGTGCGTGCAAGCGTGCACATACGTGTTTGTGAGTGTTTTGTGAGTCTGTTTCCAGCCCACCTGGATCAAACTGGGATGCTCAGTCTGTCTCTTACGTTTGGCCTCCTCCCAAGCCAACAGTCATGGCCACCGCAGAAGAGGCCGGCGCATCCGATTTGGAGAGGAGTCTAAACAAAGCCTTGTCCTCCCCCAGATGTGAACGAGTGTGACCTGAACCCCAACATCTGCCTGCACGGCGAATGCGAGAACACCAAAGGCTCCTTCATCTGCCACTGCCAGCTGGGCTACTTTGTCAAGAAGGGGACTACAGGATGCACAGGTAGGTAGGCCGTTCAGTCTAGGAGAAGAGCAGGCAGAGCTGGTGGGGGCGGTGTCAAGCAAGTCATTAGCCTAGAATCGTTATGTTGCCATAAGTCAGTGGTGGTGAACCTATGGCACGCGTGGCAGAGGCAGCACTCGGAGCCCTCTGTGTGGACACGCACGCATGCACGCACGCTGTCACCCTAGCCCCACCTCCCCTCGCGGCCCCTTCCTCACCAGCATCCCCCCTGGAAGAGAGTCGGCCCTGGGCGTGGCACGCGTGGAGCAGCGCAGCCAAGCACAATGGCAGTCAGGCAGCAGGGACAAAATTTCGCCCTCGTGCTCCGTCGCGCACAGATGCTGTGGGGCGTGGGAAGGCGTGGCCACCATGGCGCTGCAGGGCCACCTGGGTGATCTGCTGCAGTGGGCCATGGAGGCGGTGAGTGGCCCTGTGGGCGAGCAGGAGCAGAGTGGGCTGCGGGGCGGGGGTTGGGGGTTTTTGGGCACTCGGTCTCTTAAAAGGTTCGCCATCACTGCCATAAGTGATCCAGGTGCAAAGCCCCCCTTGAATTTTATTGATCCTTATCTGGCGTCAATTGAATATTGAAGCTTAATCGTCTAGATCGGGGCTCTCCAAACTTGTCAACTTTTAAGGCTTGTGGACTTTCCAGACTTTAAAACACTCAACTTTATCAACTTTTAAGATTTGTGGGCTTCGACTCCCAGCATAGCTGGCTGAGGGATTCTGGGAATTGAAGTCCACAGGCCTTCAAAGTTGCTTAAATTTGGAGACCCCCTAGACTAGATCCTTCTACATAATGTCAGGCCTCTGGAGTCATTCTCGGGATGCTGCCATTTTGTCGTGGAGGGGGGAGGCTTTACTCTTTTGGGAGGGGGCTCTGGGATGTGTGCGTTGTTCTCTCAACCTTTGGTGTGTCTCTTTGGGTGTAAAAGGGAGGGAGGCACGTGCCTGGTGCCATCTGCCTTACCTCTGCTCCGCTGGGAAGAGGATGCAACGCTGGGAACCGCGCCTCATCGCTCTTTCACCTTCCAGTTTCCATAACAACTACACACCTGTGGATTGGCTGGGCATGGATTGTTTGAAGAGAGGGGTTTAATGTAACGTTTTGCATGGGAAATATTCAGATCTTGCCTGGCCTTTCTGCTTTCATTACCTCTCAATAAAAGTTCCTTTTGAAACAATGCCGGTTTCAAGAGTTCTGCTTTCTTGGAGGATTAGCTGAGTCAGGACCTTATCCGTAGTCTTGAGCAATAAATCCTTTTTGAACAGCAACTTAATGTGTAGTCCTGATTCTTTGTGCTTGGCATTCATTGTGTCAGCATTCTCTCTCTCTCTCTCGTTATCTATGTTCAGTATACTGGGAGCTATGAAAGTCAGCGAACCCTTATACATTAAGAAAAATTGAAAGAATTTGCTGGTGGGAAATCAAAAAACAGGAACTGAGAAATGGAGCTGGCTCTCATTTCACCCCAAGCTTCGGGAGGTGGGCAGCCAGAAGCCCCCCCCCTTGCAATTTGGAAACGAAATGCAAACCTTTCCACATGCTCACTTTTTCCTTCTGTTCCCCCAGACATTGACGAGTGTGAAATTGGGGCTCACAACTGTGACATGCACGCTTCATGCATCAACATCCCAGGGAGCTTCAGGTGTAAATGCCGGCTGGGCTGGCTCGGCGACGGGTTCAAGTGCAACGGTGAGTGACCAGGGCCAGGGAAGGGGAGCCAGCCGTCTGGCCTGGCTTGAGGGGGGACGATGTCTCACCAGCCTCGTTGCATAGTGCAGGGCAGAAGAGTCTCTGAGCCCGTACAGGATGTCCTTGACTTACAACAGTTCATTTAGTGACCGCTCACACTTACAACAGCATGGGAAAAAGTGATTATGACCATTGTTCACTCTTACGACCGTTCCAGCATCCTCGTGGTCACATGATCAAAATTCGGACACTTGGCAACTGACTCATATTTATGAAGGTCGCAGAGTCCCGGGATCCAAGGTCCCTTCCAACCTTTTTTTTTATTATTATTATTATTACTATTATTATTATTATTATTATTATTATTATCATCATCATCATCATCATCATCATCATCATACGATCCCCTTTTGCGACCTTCTGAAGGCAAAGTCAGTGGGGAAGCCAGATTCACTTAACAACCGGGTTGCTAACTTAACAACTGCAGGGATTCGCTTCACAAATGTGGTGAGGAAGGTTGTAAAATGGGGCAAAACTTACATTTTCCTTCTGACCCGCAGAAAAAACTTCCTCAAATCCCCAAACAACTTACCCAGACCTAATCCACATATCAAAGGATAAGGTCTGCAAACACAAAGAGAGTTAATTAAATTAGGTCTCCCAGAGGAACTGCATGCTCACAAGAATAAACATACCTACACATAAGATATTGAGACTCTAGAAAGAGTGCAGAGAAGAGCAACAAAGATGGTCAGGGGACTGGAGGCTAAAACATATAAGGAATGGTTGCTGGAATTGGGTCTGTCTAGTGATTTGGGTGCTTGGCGACTGTCAGGGATTTACGATGGTTGCAGCATCCCAGGGTCTTACGAAGTCTCCCTTAACTTTAGCAAGACAAATCTATGGGGAAGTATCAGAGCATGCACAGTCTTATTGTGCTGAGGTAACCCAGGAGTAAAGGCAGTACACAGTGGTTTGTAATTAAGTGTGGTTTATATTACACTATATCTACAAATATACACTAGAAATAAAATACATACAGGTGGTGAGAATTCAGCAAACTCCAGTATATGGCAGTTACGGTAGTCAAATGGATGAGAGAGAAAAAGACTACAGCAAGAAAAAAACTTCCCTTTTATACTCAGCCTCTTAAAGGCACAGACACAGACCCTGCTGAGTCATTCCTAATATTGCATCATCCACATTACATTACATCTTTACATAAGCTGTTTAGCTGTTAAATTATTATCCCGACAGGAAGCCAGCCGGGAAAGTCACAAATTGTGGTCCTGTAATGTCTCATTTAACAACCACAGCGATTCGCTTAATGACCGTGGTGGAAAAAAAAGGTTCTAAAATCACGTGCAGTCATGTGATGCCTCACTTAAATAGAGGCAGCGCTTCACCACCAATTTGCTGGTCCAGTGTCAGAGGGTTCCACAGGCAGAGGGGCTACGCAGGTGAGACTTTCCCCCTTCATCTCCTTCTTTCTCCTTCCCAGATCTAGACGAGTGTGCCACCGAGGCACACAGCTGCAACCTCAACGCCAACTGTCTGAACACGCCGGGCTCGTTCCGCTGCGCGTGCCAGGAGGGCTTCGGCGGTGACGGCTACTCTTGTTCGGGTGAGTGTAGAAATGTTCGGTCATTTATTTATAACATTTCTCAGCTGCCCATCTTACCATCGGGTATCTCTGGGTAGCTGACAGTTACATAAAATCTAAAATATAAAAAGTTAAAGTCGAACCTTACAAACCAAAGACACACAGGGTATGTGTATATGTGTGTGTGTGTAGATGGGATCTGTTATTACTCAATCAACCACCTCCGTTGTCCCAAAGGTGCTTTTTGTCCACGAGGCAACTGGAATTTCTTGTTTTTCCTTTAAAGACATTTTACTTCTCATCCCAGAAGCTTCTTTGGCTCTGACCGGATCGCGGGGAAGGGAAGGATTTATACTCCTTGCAGACAGCTGGTCATTTGCATTCTTTGAGAGAGTCGTTGAGGCCGCTTGGAGCCTGAGGACCCAGACAAACCTCCAAGTTCCACACTTTTGAGAGCACAGATAAACCTCCAAGTAGCCTCAACAACTCTCAGAAAGAGTACTAATGACCAGATGACTGCAAGGAATATAAATCCTTCCTGGGACATAATTTTACCAGGAGTATAATACTTTGCTGAAAATTTACATTGAAACTAAGTTAATCAACTAAAATTAGCATACTTCCTCAAACCCCCAAATAAGCTACCCAGGCCCAATCCACATATCAAAGGATATGGCTGCAAACACAGAGTTAATTAAATTAGGTCTCCCAGAGGGACTGCATGTTCACAAAAAATAAATATACCTACACACACAAACACACACACACACACCTCCAGTGTCTCCATAGAATCTGTACCTGAAAATGCCAGGTGGACAGTTGACAGGCCTGACCATGCCTCGTTTTTCCCTTCCAGATGTGGACGAATGTGCCGACAATGTCAACCTCTGTGAGAACGGGCAGTGTCTCAACGCCCCTGGGGGCTACCGGTGTGAGTGCGAAATGGGCTTCAACCCAACTGATGACAGCAAGGCTTGCCAAGGTGAGCTGATTTAGGAACTGGACTTAGGATAAGAAGAATGGTTGCAGGAATTGGGTATTAGGGGATGAGAAAGACTTGCACAAAAGGCCAGCAAAATTGCTGCCAGTGTTTAGAGGTTTATGTGTGTGTGAGAGAAAGAGAGAGAAAGAAGAGAGAATCAAGATCACGTGAAATGTTAATTTTTTATTTTTTTTTTATTTAAATTTATATCCCACCCTTCTCCTTGCGGACTCAGGGCGGCTGACAATCAATTTAAAATACACCAAAAACAATTACAAAATTTAAAATTAGTTAAAAAGAAATATTTAAATGTTGTCTGATTAAAATATAATTAAAACCCCTCTAAAAAATTACCCTAGGCCAGTCCCGCTTGTTGGAATAGCCATGTCTTAAGGGCGCGGCGGAAGGAAGGG